TAGGGCGACGGGCCGGGGGTCGACGGGCTAGGGGCGACGGGCCGGGGGTCGACGGGCCTAAGGGGCGCCGGGCTAGGGGCGACGGGCCGGGGTGACGGGCCTAGGGCGACGGGCCGGGGGTCGAAGAGCCTAGGGGCAACAGGCCGAGGCGACGAGCCTAGGGGCGACGGGCCTACGGGCGACGGGTCGCGACGGGCCTAGGGGCCTGGCCTAGGGGTCGACGGGCAGTAGGGGCAGCACGAGGGCTGTAGAGGGCGGCTAGCGGGGTAGCGCTGTGGTGGGCCCAAGGAAAAAAAAAAACGGTCCTAGCGGAGGACCTGCTCTGATACCATGTCAGAATACTGAACGAGAATGAATGAACTATGAAAGAGTTGGGTACAAGTGCTAACCCTGATTGGGTTGTACCCCTTATGGGCTACCCCACTATAGCCTACACAAATTGTAACCACTAAATCATTCTGACAGTCTCAACCCTAGCATGGCTCCTAGTCTCACACTATAGTTACGATTCTGACACGACCAGTAGTAATACCGCTGCAGTTGCTGTCGCGTTTTTTCTACCCCGAAGTGGCCCGAGGTAATCCCGTCGTGTGCCTCCTGCAGTAACAATTCCCTCAGTAGTGAGTACGCGGGTACCCAAATGCGGTTGGTGCCTGTTTTTACGTAATAGACTCCCTTAGCTTCTACTAGTTACTGTGAATTTCCGGTCGTGAAAAATGGGTCGGTACTGTATTCGTGGGTGAATAGGCCCGTTAACAGTTGGTTGGTTTGGGCGAGTAGGATGGCATGGAGTTGGGCGGTAGGACGTGTGAGCGCGTCGGCGATATTTGATGCGCCTTTTTTGTACATGACTATGTAGTGGAAGTTGGACTCCAGATAGTCCAACCAGCGGATCTGTCGCGGGTTGAGATTCGGTTGGGCGCGGAGGTACTATAGTGATCGGTGATCTATCCGTACTGTCACGTCGGCGCCAGTCAGGTAGCATCGCCACATTTTGAACGCGTGCACGATCGCCAGCATTTTGCGGTCGTGTATCGGGTAGTTGCGTTCACGCGGGTGCAGCTTGCGGGACTCGTACGCGATTGGCTGGAGGCCATTCCCGAAGTCCAGCAACAGTACAGCTCCCACGGCGATGTCACTTGCGTCGGTGACGAGCTCGAACGACGGTGCGGATCTGCGATGTGAAGCACGGGCGGCGAGCACAAATTTTGTTTGAGGGCCGAGAAGGCAGCTTGCTCTTTCTCCCCCCACGTGTACTCAACCCCCTTCCTCAGTAGGTCGGTCAACGGAGCAGTCAACTTCGCCATGTCGGGGACGAACCGGCGCACGAAGTTGACGAACCCGAAAAAGCTCTGCAACTCGGTCAAGTTTGTCGGCGCGTGCCACGCTTGAATTGTCGCGATATTCTTCGGGTCTATTTCCACTCCTTCAGCTGAAATAATGTGTCCCAAAAACTCCAGTCTGTCCTGTAAAAACTCGCACTAAGATGCTTTCGTCAGTTGGCGGTTCTCACTCAGTATTTTGAAAACGGCTTCAATGTCCTGTAGGTTCTGTGCTCTGTCTGGGCTGTAAATCAGTATGTCGTCGAGGTACACGATGGCGCACTTATCTAAAAGCTGGCGGAAGGCTTCGTTCATGGTCATTTGAAAAGTTGCAGAGGCGTTGGTCAGTCCGAAGGGCATGACGGTGTATTCGAAGGATCCGTAGCTTGTTCGGAAAGCTGTTTTCGGGCAATCGGGTGGGTTGACTTGGATCTGGTGGTAGCCTCCTCGAAGGTCAATTTTCGAGAAAACCCGGGTTGTGCGCAGTTGGTCGATCAGTTCGTCGGCTCGTGGGATGGGGTAACGGGATTTGATGGTAACCCTGTTCAGTGCGCGATAATCGTTGCACATGCGAAAACCCCCGTCCTTTTTCGGTGTGAACAGTATCGGTGCTGCGAAGAGTGACGAACTTTGGCGAATGAATTCCTTCTCGAGTAGGTAATCTAGCTGCTTCCTTAGTTCGTCCAGTTCGGGTTGGGTCAGTCGGAACTGTCGCTGTACTATCAGTTGTGCCCCCGGTTCTAACTCTATCCTGCGGTCGTGCGGTCGCTGAGGTGGCAGTCCTGTCGGCAGGTCATCCGGGAAAATCCCAATGTACTGCTTCAGTAGTGCTGCCAAGTCATCTGGTACGTCCGCTAGCAGTTTCAGTAAATCCCCCCCTTTGTCTGCTGCCTCAGCTTTTCGAATGTCGACCGCGTACACGTCAGCTCCTGCCGCTACAGCGCGTTTCATCGTGATCGCGTTGATACGCACCGACGAAGACTCAGGCGAGCCCCAGCGAGGTAAGGCGATGTTGTTACCGTTCGCTCGCACGGTGCAATCACCCGTCGTTCTGTCGTTTCGTGGATTGTGTCGCCACAGTCAATCACGGCCGAGTAAAATGTCGGTTCCGTCGAGGGTTGTCGCGAGCATTTTCTGGCTAAACGTGAAGTTACCCTCGCATCGAATCCGAACCCGGTCTACGCGTTCCCGTATCGCCATTGGCGTGCCGTCAACCAGTCTTGCGTCGATCTCAGGTAAACATCTGTCCAGTGGCAGTCTCAGTTTTTGTGCCGTGGCGGTGTTGATCAGGCTATGGCTGGCTCCCCCGTCTACGAATATTTTAACTAAGTCTGTCCCAATTTTCCCGCTAAGCAGTATGGGGCTGTCTACCGTAGTACCCTCCTTATTCGGCCGGGTGTGGTCGATTGCGTGAACCGACACAATCACTCGGTGAGGATCGGTTGGGTCGGGCGTGCGGCGTGACCTGTCAATAGAGGGCCCGTCTGCTACTGACTCCCAGCGTTTCCCTGCTGCTTGGTCTGTTTCTGCTGCTCAGCTTCCCCCTTTCCCTTAGCGTTTTCCGGGCATTCGCTCTTGCGGTGTCCCGGCCGATTGCACGCGAAGCAACGCCCTTTGAACGGTGCGGCCGCGACATTCGCGGCGATGGCACGTATCGTGGCGCCCTCGTTCGTCCCACGAGATCGATGTCCCCAGTTGCTGTTGCTTCCGTAGGACCCCGACCTCGATCGACGAAAGAAGTCGAGCTTCTCCGCCATGGCGAGAATTTCTTGGAAGTCGTTGACACCGCGGAGCTGAATTTCTTGGGCGACATCATGCTTCAGGCCGCCGATGTAGCGGTCGATGCGCTCGCTTTCGTACATGTATCCCACTTGCTCACACAGCGCCAGGAACTCGCTAGTGCAGTCTTGGACGAAACTGAGTTGGCTCCAAGTGCGGAGCTTCTGACGCGCCGCGATCGAAGCCGCAATTGGCTCAAATCGAGCGCGCAGACCTGCGTACCACGCATCCCACGTGTGATATTGGGGCACCTCTATGAAATACGACAGCGCCCAGGGTCCGGTTTGTCCTTCCCGTGTCGGTAGAGTCGCGTAGTCCATCGGCTTCGTGACGATGACGCGCCACCAGTTTATGGCGGGTCCTCGCAGCAGCGAAACGGCGTAGTGAATCTTCGCCGTATCCTCCGATACGTAGTTGGTGTCAAAAGATACGTTCAACGTGAACAACCACGCCTGAACGGTAGGACCACCTCGTTGACTCGGGTCAAAGCATGGCGGACGCTGCGGCTTCAGCGGCATCGGTGACGGCAATGCCGAATCATTGGTCGGTGCCGAAATCGTGACGCGAGGCTGGCTCCTGGCCGCATTCGTCGCTTCGGGGTGTGTCGTGTCGTGGTCGTCGTCTCCGTCGTGGCGGACGACGCCATCACTCGCCACGCTCGCGGGTTGCCCCACACTTCTGTGCTGCGATGCTAGTGGTGCAGGTTGCCCCGGAGTGCCAGGTGCTTGTGATTGTGCTTGATGTGCTCGTGCGACGTCATTTTGCAGGGACGTGCGTTCGGCCGTCAGTGCCGCGATTTCTTCAAAGCTTTCGTGGAGGTGTCGCAGCAGCTCGTTCAAACGGTCCTGCGTGAGTGTCGTGACGTCGATATGTTCAGCCATAACTGTTGGAAACAATTGATTTAAGCGCCTCTGTCGTGTCGAAACACCAAGTCAGAAGCGAAGCGAAACATATCGAAGCATCAGCGAGTCAACCCTCGGAGGTTGAACAACTGCTGGAGGTTACGCGAAAGTCAAAGGTCAGCGACCTTTGACCTGACAAATACAGCGCGACAGCAAGGACAAACAACTGACTCGCTACTGAGCAGTTGCCCGAGTCGACACTGTATCGAACCGCAACAGCAACAGTAAAACGGTTATTAACCGTATCTCTTCATATTCCTTGTATCCTTATAAAAGCTTGTATCTCTTTACTTTAATCAATCAACTTTGCCCTCACATACCAGCGCAAGGTGGTTCACAAAGTCTTTTATTTAACGCTTCCGCTATTACGTTGTCCTACCCTGAATTTAGTCCTGCAAAGATCCTAAGGGCTTTTCTCAGCCCAACAATAACGAAGGGCGTCGGCTCAGCTTAGTCTAGGCGCAGTCGTGGCTGCACGCATTTACGAGAGATGCGAGGACAGCGGCTTCTAGGTGCTAAGGGGCGTGAGTCCCTTCGAGTGAAAAATCAAAAGTTGATTTCCTGGGGTGCGGAGATGCGTGGTCCGAAGGAAAGTGGCTCTGATAACCAAGTGTTACTGGTGCAATGAATCGAGGTCGCGAGGATTGCACTAGAGTGTAATGTGAGCGAAGGCATGAGCGAATACTTATTTGCGAAAATGTGCAAATGGTAACGTGGTACGTGCGAGCTAGCTATTGCTACGTTGGCGCGAGGTTCGGGCTAGTCCCGAAGCGTAGGCCGACGCGGTTGCTCCAGCAGTGCGAGGTTTGGTGAAACAGTGCACGCGAAGTTGGCGAAGCCCCGTTAGCAGTAAAGGGCAAAAAACGACTGCTTATGTACGCGATGTGGACGGTCGCAGTAAGGAATAGCGAGAAAATTCCTTACAACTAGTTAGATCACCTAACATTCAGTTATGAAGGAAAAAACTCATGGAGAATAAAGAAATAAAGCATGGACATTACTTTCGTGGCGGTTGCATGCCTCTCCTTGCTTGTTGTACACTTATTGTTCCATCCTCCCTCTTTCCACGCAACTTACTCCTCCCCCCTGTATCCCCTCTTGATGCTACTCCCACGTTGCGCCCCAAATCCGCCTTCTGCCCATTCGCCACCCTCACCCCTTTCTCCCGCACGGCATCCTCCCTTTTCATCTCCTCAAAACTCGGTGGTAACGTAACATTCGCCATGCGAGCAATCCTCCCGATCAGCCCAGCCCGAGCCTCGTGACTGGTGTCATTCTTCACCCAGTCATATGTGGGAATGCGGTGGTTGCTCTGCTCAGGCTGCCAATCCGTGGGGTACGTGGCCCAGGAGAGGTCCTCCATGTGCTTGTGCCACACCCACACCGCTCTGCACCCATCTGCCAACACCTCGAATTCGTCCTCGTGTGTCACGAGCTGCTCTAGGAAGTCCGTCTCAAGGAAGCTGCCAGGGAAAGGGGCCACAGGGAAGAGGAGGGGTTAGATGGCATGGCATGCGTGCATGTTGATTCACAGTGGCATACGAGGAACTTCTAATGCTGCCATTGCTGCCAATGGCCGAAGACCAGAAGGTAAGGTCCCAGCACGATGACCTGCCAAGTCAACCCCATGTCAACCCCATGTCAACCCCATGTCAACCCCATGTCAAGTCGCCCTACCCGCGTTTTGAAGGCCGGAAGCGAATGGACTGCTTCTTCCCTTGGACTGTACCGTTGCGAAGAGCCTCCGTGCTGCATAGACACACACACCACAGTGTACACCACAAGGCACACACCACAGGGCGCACAGGGAAGAGTGTTGGCATACCTATCTAAAGGTAAAACATGCTCTTTCAGAGCTGCGTTCCAATAGGAGGGAACAAGCGACTACATGTCTCGGTGCCACATGCACAACACAGGGCGCGCACAGAGAGGAGACTTGGTTCCTAACCGAGAGTGAAACATGCCTTTGCTCACCTGAACGCGAAACCACCCATGTCCATGATGTACCGCCGTGCGTCGAGGTCCCTCTGGTCTTTCGGTCACAAGTATGCCCTCTGCATTGCAACCTCAGATCCACAGTCTCTGACCCGCAAAACATACCTGAACGCAAGCATACCTGAACGCAAGCCCCGCCATGTCCATGACGTACTGCCGCGCCTCCAAGTCTCTCTCGTCCTTCAGTCACACCTCTGCAACCTCTGATGCACATTCTCTGATCCTCAATCTCTGATCCTCAATCTCTGATTCACGGTCATACCTGAATGCGAACCCAGCCATGTCTATGATGCACCGCCGTGCCTCGGGGGGGGGGGACGCGGCGGTCATACGCCTCCCACCACACGACCCATGCACATGCCATCTGCAGTCAACGCTCCATGGGCATACCTGAAAGCAAACCCAGCCATGTCCATGATGTAGCGCCGTGCCTCGGGGGGGGGACGCGGCGGTCATACGCCTCCCACCACACGACCCATGCACATGCCATCTGCAGTCAACGCTCCATGGGCATACCTGAAAGCAAACCCAGCCATGTCCATGATGTAGCGTCGTGCCTCGGGGGGGGGACGCGGCGGTCATACGCCTCCCACCACACGACCCATGCACATGCCATCTGCAGTCAACGCTCCATGGGCATACCTGAAAGCAAACCCAGCCATGTCCATGATGTAGCGCCGTGCCTCGGGGTCTCTCTGCAGGGGGACGCGCCGGCCGTACGCCTCCCACCCCACCACCCGTGCCTGTGCCACCTGCTCCATCTCCTCGCCCGCGTAGCCACTCCCGCCGCCACCACCAGCACCTCTAGCGCCCGCGGATGATGCTTTGCTGACCGTTGCCGCCCCAGGAGTAGCACCGTTGCCGCTGCTGCTTCCACTGCCACCGCCACTGCCGCTGCCGCTGCCGCCAGTGCTGCTGCTGCCGCCAGTGCTGCCGCTGCTGCCCTCCACAGAAGAATCACTCTCCCTCTCACTCTCCCTCTCAACCCCCTCCAAAGGCACCCGCACAATGGGGCGGCCAACATACGAGCGCATGGGGCTGTCCTTGCCAAACAGGAACCCCACAGGCAGCAGCCCAATGCGATGAATCTTCCTTAGCTCCTGAAAAAGCTGCAGCGCGTACGAGTTGTCATCGTCCATAAAGTACACGATTCCTTCGAGGTTTTCCCTTTCTATGTACTCGAGAGCTTGGTTCCTCTGCCCCACGCCGCGGAACCATCGTTGGTCCTCGTCCTGAAAAGGCAAACGGGTGGGGGAGGCGGGAGACGGGTGTGGGGGAGTGGGACAGGGAGGAGAAGAGTGCAAAGGGTGAGGAAGAGTGGGACAGGGAGGAGAACTATCAGATAGCTGCTGCGCGGGGATGGTGACAAGGCATGGAGGGAGACATGAAGGGGAGAGTGCAGAGTGCAGGCGGCAGAGGCATGACAGCAGCATGACAGCAGCATGACAGCAGCATGACAGCAGCATGACGCCTCTGCTTGTCCCTGTTCATGAGAGCTCATCAAGGGGAGCTCATCATGGGGAGCTCATCAAGGGGAGCTCATCATGGGGAGCTCATCAAGGGGAGCTCATCATGGGCAGCTCATCAAGGGGAGCTCATCATGGGGAGCTCATCATGGGGAGCTCATGGGAAGCCATTATCTCGGTGCAAGAATTTAAAGGTGTCGCATCCAGCACGTTGGCTTCAACCTGCCCTTACATCAGGTAACCGTTGCCAATCACTCATCACCACTTCGGGTTTTTAGTTAGTTTTGCTTTTTTAAGAGTCTTCTGGTGCCCTGAGTTTGGAATTCCCTGCCCTCCAACTTACATCTCCGGTGGCTATATGAACATACTCCAGCTTCCGGCACCCGCCGGCCTCCGCTGCTGCACAGTAACCTGCCGTCCGCTCTAGCAGCATGGCCGTCTCGTCCGTCTGCACGCACGTGTGGAGGGAGGGAGATGCTTATGATGCATGGAAGGCCTTATTAGACCTTGATATTACATGATAAGAAGGGGAAGAGCTCATTTCCAGCATACACCTGTCTCCCAGCTGCACAATCATTACCACGGATGTCACTCCCATCACCAGACAAAGTCACCCATTTCTTCCCCACAAAGTATACTTGCATGAAAAACAAGCATGCTGTTGTGGACGATCTACAGCAACAGAGGTGCTGCTGACCAATGCTAAGCGTAAATCTGTAGGCAGATAACGCAGCTGGATACATGTAAGGCAGCTGTATACATATATGATATAAGCAGAAAAAAAAAGCATATTGAAAGGCGTATACACGACCGCCTCTCGTGGCGCCGCATCACGTACTCGAAACTTGTTACCGTGCTCCACTCCTATCAATTCAGAAGCTGCGTTTATAGAGAAATGACTTTTCAGACTTCTGAGCCTTTTCATCCGCCCCAAAACACTATCTAGTCAGAGATTTCCCGAGCCGCCTCAAAATACTTATTCGCACACGTGGCGTACCTTATTCCCGCTCTCCACGACGATCCACGTGTGCGGCGGCGGCACGAGGCGCAGCGTGTGAGTGAGCTCCGTGATGTACGCCGCCTGGAACGCGCGCGTGTACGTCGGCGTGACGAGGATGAGGCGGGGCGGGAGAGGCGGGGGTTTCGAAACAGTCCAAGAGACCGTTGGCGCCTGTGGGAAATACGGGGGAAAGGGGGAAAAAGGGGAGGGGACAATGGGTGCAGGCGGTTAATGAGAGGCAAAACGCGCGCGCGTACGTGTGAGTGAGCTCCGTGAGGTACGCCGCCTAGGCGGGAACGCGCGGGAGTACGTCGGCGTGACGAGGATGAGGCGGGGCGGAACAGGAGGGGGTGCCGATACAGTCCACGAGAGCGTTGGCGCCTGCAGGGGAGAGGGGAAAGGGAAAGGCAGCCGGGTAGGGGAGAAAGTGGTGCAGGCGCGGTTCGTGAGAGGCGTAACACGCGCGAGTACGTGGGCGTGACGAGAAGAGGCGGCGGAACAGAGGGGGCGGCTGAGCATCAGTTTAAGAGAGCGTCGCCTGCAGGAATCGGGCGTCCAAGCGACCGTCGCGAAACCGTCGTACTCGCTCCGATCCAACCCGACCTCCGACTCGGCTCCGTCTCGACTCTGACCTGTCTCGGATCGGCTCGGTCCTGGTTCGGACTCGACTCGACTTGACTCGACTCGGACTCGACTTGGTGGCACAGAAAAAGAGCGCGAAACAACAAGCGGTGCAAGGGGAGGCGAGGCGAGCTTACAAAGCGACAAGGCATGAGCAACAGAGACGGAAGGAACGTCGGCATGGCCCTTACCAGGAGCCAGATGGACGCGCAGGAGAAGAGTGCGAGCAGCCCTATCCAGTGCACCAGCTGCGACGACTTCATGCGATTCCCCACAGTCGGCAGCACCGGAAGCTCCCTGTATCCCGGCGGCAGGTACGGCAGCACGAAGCGCGACACCCTCCATTTTACTGACGCGCCGAAACCTGCGGAGGACGCGGCGTCAGTCGATCCTTTCTCCTTTCCGAACATCACGTCTCTATTCTCCTTTCCGGCCAGACCAGACGGCAGCTTTCGCGGCCGTTTGGATTGGCTTCCCGGAGGGTCATCATTTTCAAACGCCGTTTCGGTGCCACCACTACTAGTTCTTTGAGGCGTCCCAAAACTCAAATAGGTTCTGGTAACGGAAGGGTCCGCAATGTCGCCGGATCGCTCGTCGAGAAATTCCTTGCAGTTGGGGGACTCGGGAAATTCGGAGCACTCGGGAAAGCCGGAAGTTGCCTTTTCCAGGTCGTTGCTCGCACCACCTGCAAAGTCGTCGGATCGCCGCGTATTAGACGGACGATGCGAAGTCCAATCAACAGGAGATGCCGCCATGTTCCGATGCTGCGTGATGTCTTGCAATGGACTCATGCTGTCTGCTAGAACTCTCCACCAGGAGAGGAGCTACTGGCTTTCACTTGTGGCCGAGAGGAGGGATAAGCTAAATGATTGGCGGCGACTAGGGAAAAGAAGATACTAGAAAGCTCAAGACACCACGACTACATGCATAGCACTGCTCAACGTTGTTACCGTTAGTTCCAGGATGGCCTTTGAGCCGGCTCAAAAGTAGTTTCGCGCTGCAGAATTACTTGCTTCACCGCAAAGGACTCTAGTCCTTGGTCTGACGATGCACTTCCTTATCTCTATGATGTGCGCCCCGTGAGTCCTCTACTGCAATCCGTGAGTCTCTCTGAATTTGCTTCAAAACAAGCAGCAGAATTAGGCCAGCACCGAACGCTGCACTTCCTTTCTACTGATATGATTTTTGACTATCTCTACTGAACGCGGCACGAGTCTTGCCGGAAAAACAACTTCATGAAGCATGCGAACGCGGAGGTTGGTCTCTGAGGCCGCCGGTATCCTTGAGAGAGAGGGATAGTACTTCGAATTGGCTCCAGAATGGAAAATTCACATTCGGAAGCCAGCGAACAATAAGGCGAGAGAGGATCAGCTGTGCCGCATGTGATAAGTCGCTAGATGCGTCGCACATACATTATCCGATCAAAAGCGGCAGTTGTAGCGAGTCAGGTTCGTTGAACGACTTGTACCTACGCAGAATCCGTCCCTGGAGCCAAGGGAGTCGCGTGGCGTTGATGCGGGTTGAAAGTCCATGAGTCGGTTGCAAGGCGGCAACCAGCACCTATCACTGGCAGACGCCATGGGAGCCCCACTATCCTCGGTTCCTCCATTCATTTCTTGCGATAGACGACCCATTCTTCGTCAACTACTGTCGATCAGAGACGTTGTGGTCTGCAGCAGGCGTGTCAGAGTCAGCTTCAAGCAAGGGAGAATGGTAAGCGCAGCCGTCCCAGCTTGTGAGATAGGTGGGAAGGACAAACGGATGGCACCAAGCAATGGTGTCAGGAAGGAAAATTGGCAGCAATAAGCAAGCTGCTCAGATCGAGTCGCGAGAAATTCAGCTGGGCGCGTGGATAGAGCCGAGTCGACCTGTCACTAGGCGTGTGGAGAGGGAGCGTCAAAACCCCTGCAGTTCATTGAACACAGGAAAGCGGGTTAAAGGATGTCTACAAAAATTGATATGATTTCCAGCATAGAGGTTGTATCATCCAAGCAGTATCAGGTACGAAAAACGGAACATCATCACGAAGAGATGAGCACAGAAATTTGAGACGAGGTACATTTTCATGACACCATATCTGGAAGAACCTATTTCAGGATAGATCCGAGGAAGCCTTCTGGAGCTGGGTTGTTGGGGCGAGGATGGCTGCCCCAAACTGAAATTGATGGCCCAGATTCCACCTATCTCTGACAACATATCAGAGGCGCCGCGGTGGTCCGAAGGAGCAAAGGACTGCGCCTCGGTGGTTGGAAACGTCCCCTGAAAGTGTGGGGCGGGAGGGACAGAATTGGCGGCAAGCTTGTCAACATTAGATACTCAAGGCAGAGCGATCCGTTACACAAGCGTTTTGAAGAAAAGGGGCCCTATCTTCTGACATCGCAGATTACAAGCAATTTCATACACACAAGTTCACATGATTCTTAGATTGATTTCACTTGATCGGAATCGTTGAGAGAAAATGTGGGTGCTTTAAAACCAGGTTTTTGTTTTTTATCTGTAATGCAAGGAAACTTTTGTGCAACTTTTACTGTGCTCATATGTAACACAAGGTGATTTTGCAAGTTTATTCATGGCTAAAAAACTCAAAGATAAATTGCATATGTATCACATTTGTGGTCCACTGTAAGGAAATTTCCTTTTCCTCACTTTGCGCCCCTTCTTACCGCGTACACAACCATTCCCGCCATCGGCACCCAACAGTGGAACGTTACCCGCTCGCGACACTCGCCTCGACCACGACTCACACCACTGTTCACGATGCGACCCAACCTCACGGTTCGATTGGTAACCCGCGCTCCGGACCTCCGCCTCGACATTTCCCAACCTCAGCGCTAGGCCCATAGCGCACCCCATTTTCTCGTGTTAGTGTTACCACGCTAGCTTCGCTATATATTATTCGCTCATGCCTTCGCTCATTGGACTGTTTGCTTCGATAGTGCAATTCTCGCTCACTCGCCCAATTGCACTCGTAACACTTGGTATTCAGAGCCTACGATATCCTCTTGGGCCGCACCCACACCTTCACTTCCCCACTATCTCAAATTTTTGGGGGGGTAGACGTCTCTCAGCGAACAAGCACCGCCGCTCGAAGTGCTCTCTCGTAAGCACGCACGGCCACGACAAAGGCTCTCGCTGAGCTTGCCCGACACCCCCGCCATGGCTGAACTCAATGTCGCGACACTGATGCAGGAGCAGCTCGACCGCCATGGTTGAAGATTCGGTGCTCGAAATTGTCAAACATATATGTATATATATGTTATAGTTTGGGTAGGCTTAGTGGGGTACACACTGTGGGGTACAACCCCTTTAGTTTTCTTCTTTGTACCAACCCTCTCGACAGTCGACATCACTTTTTCCTATGATCCTAACATGGTATAGAGCATAGGTCCTTAGGACCTAGGATTAGGGCCCACCACGCTTGCCTGCCTTGTCTAGTGCCTACGCGCGCCTCGGCTGCCCGCGCGCGCCTCGGGTGGTCCTTTTTTTTTTTTCCCACGTGCGCCGCTTTAGCAGCCCGCACAGCCCGTTTCGGCCCCACCTGTGCGCCCCTTAAGCCGCCCGCGCGCAACCTGGTTAGGCCACGCCAGCGCGGCCCGTCGCCCAGCGCAGCCCGCAGCTTAGCGACTAGCCCGCAGCCACGCACGTGCGGCCCGTCGCCCAGAGCAGCCCGCAGCCGCACGCTGCCTGTCGCCACGCGCAGCCCGCAGCTGCAAGCAGCCCGCAGCCCGTGCATTCCGTCGCCGCACGCAGCCTGCGGCCGCGCGCGCTGCCCGTAGCCACGCGCAGCCTGCAGCCTCGTGCAGCAAGCCGCCACACGCAGCCAGCAGCCTCACGCAGCCCTCCTGCCTGCTGCCTGCCTGCTGCCTGCCTGCTGCCGCCAGCCTGCTTGCTGCCTGCTGCCTGCCTGCTGCTTGCCTGCTGCTTGCTGCCTGCTGCCGCCTGCCTGCCGCCTGCCCGCCTGCCTGCTTGCTGCCTGCTGCCGCCTGCCTGCAGCCTGCCTGCAGCCTGCCTCCTGCCTGACTGCCTGCTTGCTGCCTGCTGCCGCCTGCCTGCCGCCTGCCTGCTGCCGCCTGCCTGCAGCCTGCCTGCAGCCTGCCTCCTGCCTGCCTGCCTGCTTGCTGCCTGCTGCCGCCTGCCTGCCGCCTGCCTGCCTGCCTGCTTGCTGCCTGCTGCCGCCTGCCTGCAGCCTGCCTGCAGCCTGCCTCCTGCCTGCCTGCCTGCTTGCTGCCTGCTGCCGCCTGCCTGCAGCCTCCCTGCTGCCTGCCTGCTGCTTGTTGCCTGCTGTCGCCTGCCTGCAGCCTGCCTGCTGCCTGCCTGCTGCCTGCCTGCTGCCTGCCTGCTGCTTGCTGCCTGCTGCCGCCTGCCTGCCGCCTGCCTGCTGCCTGCCTGCCTGCTACCTACTGCCTACTGCCGTCTGCTACTTGCTGCCTGCTGCCGCCTGCCTGCTTGCTGCCTGCTGCCTCCTACTTGGTGCCTGCTGCCTCTGTCTGCTGCCTGCTGCCTGCCTTAAGCCAATATGGCGATGCCCAACGTTCTAGCGTTCGAGCCTGACGGTCGTCCCATCGAGTTCACTGTGTGGTTAGACGATCTCCAGCTGTTCCTTCTGACTGATGCCAAAGAGGGCGTTTCTTTGTTTGATTACGTCTCTGGCACTACCGTTACTCCTGCTGCTGATGCTCCTGCTCTAGAACGCTCCCAGTGGCAGACTCGTGATGCTGCTGCACGCCTAGCTAGTAGGAACCACCTGCCGATTACTGAGCGAGCGCATTTCAGCCAGCACAAAACTGCTAAGACACTGTACGACGCTGTAGTTGCGCGCTACTCCTCCCCGGCCACTGCAGCCATAGGTCGACTCATGCTACCGTACCTGTTTCTCACCTGCGCGCTACTGTCTCTCGCTTTCGTGCCGCTCTTTCAGCCGAGTTCTGCGCCGCAAACCCCCCCCCCCCCCCCCCCCCGATGTACTTCACTCTCTATTTCCTCGTCACCCGCCTCCCTGACACTCTTAGCTCTGTCAGGGACCACTTCCTAGCGCTAGACCCCACCACTCTCACTGTCGACGACTTCGAGAAGCACCTCCTCGCAGCAGAGAAGAACATCCTCGCTGTAGGTGCTGCTCGTGGCACTCCTCGCTCTCCCCTCTTTGAGGGGTGCTCCCCCTCCCCTCTCACCCCCTCCTACGCCTCCGCAGCTGCTGCTCACGACTACCTTGGTGCTGAGGGGGTCGGAGCTGCTTCCGCTCCTAGTGGGAAGCGTCGCAGCGGCAGGGGCGGCAGGGGTGGCAAGGGCGGTGGGGGTGGCGGTGGAGGTGGCGGTGGTGCAGGCGGCAGGGGAGGTGGAGGTGG